TTTAATGAGAAAATCAATAAACGATGGATGTTTCATCAGGTAGCAATCGAAATCTACGAAAGACAGATTACGTTAACGCATGTACCCGTAACAATCATGCCCCATTTTTATCAGTTGTCAGCAACGCAGGCAGTAACTTGCCCCAAGCTAACAACGATAATACTATAGGTACATATCAACTCGATAAAAATTTATGTACGCCAACAGATTGTGTCTCTCTGACCACAGCAGAAACGGCTCCAGCATCCAGGTTCGATACGAGACAAACCCCGTCAACTTCATCCATCTTCATCAACGTTACGGCTCCAAGCTGGACAACACGATACCGGTATATGTAGCGGTCATATGTCTAGAAACACAATGAAAATCTATCAGCAGATACGTTCTCATAATATACATGGTGGATGTAAGTGTGGTCGAACTTTTTGCTTTCCAATGGATTGAGCTGCGCGCATTGGCGATATAATGTCTCCGTTATGTTGAAATTCGCAGGGTTGAAGAGATTCCGTCAAAGCCATGCGATGCCAGGACTTTGCTCTCTATCGACCGTTTTGTAACCCGATTTAACTTACCTAATGGAAGTACGCATGAGGCGGTGGCTGTCGCCTGATTTCCTATTCTTTGTGCTAATCGATAATCGCAACAAAAAATCCGCTGGATCTCGGACGCGCGGATTGGCGGCATGTACACGCGCTACCGGATTCAACATGACTAAGATGCGGATCAGCAAGCGGGCCCAGGCTGAGATCAACAGACGCTAGCAAAAAGAATCGTCATCAACTTCGGCATCGTTGCTGACGTCTTTGCCGCCGCCATTGCAGCCATCGTCGTGTATAAGAGCAATACCACGATCGTAATAGCAATATCGCGGGCTGCAGAAACGTCCGAGCTATCCGAACGAACCTGGGAATAGCCGACAAGTCGTGATGGGAGGCATAGCGGCACAGAACAAAAATCGTTTTGTTTTGTTCGTGAAAATACCCAATGGGGCTATTTACTCAACCAATACATTGCCGTCAACGTCCGATGAGTCTCGTATTCTCTCTGCCTCTCTCTGATATCTGGTTTCTCAGTCATTCGCTCCGTCTTGACGTTTTCGCTCCGTTCATTTTTGTTGGCGGCAACTTTTGATCCGCTCAAGATCGCCACCGGTTGAACCAGAAGAAAACGACGATCGAGCAATTCTCTAAGCAGTAGCTTTCTGACGCTGTTAAGTATTGATGATTATCCTCGTCGCACGCCAGACAGATTGAGCGAAGGCTGGATGGCAGGAAGAAATCCTGTACATTTTTGGCGCAACAATTCTCTCCGATGGCTCCGAAGGTGTGCTAGATGCACACAACGGATACTAAGCAGGGCGTCTGCTAGTTGGGTCTACACCAAAGAATGCCTGCTCGATAAGCCAACAAACGAAAGTTGAACACTTGAGGAAGTGTTCAACAGTGAGGTGTGTGCGGTGACGACCTGTTGTTACTTTCGCTGCTGCCATTACGGCTGGCATTATCTAAGGAACTATGTATACGATTCGCTTACCGTTGAACTTCGCTAAGAAGAAGAAGGTAGGTAGAAAGAACCAGAAGCCTCGAACAAAATATTGCGATCGTATTATCGTTCTCGTTACCAAACGATCGAACACGCAGGGTGTGTATTATGTGATAGGTAATCAATGTCGCCTGTATCAATCGAAGCCGTACTGGAGCACCGTGCGAGTTACCGGTCCACCGTACTTACCGCTAGTCTAGCAGGCTTCAAACAGTTTTAGGCAGCAAGGACCATGTTCTTACAGTGAGGTAAGATCCTTTTCTGTCGCTGTCGACGGACCACTTTGCATTGCCACTGCAAATTGTTTGAAAGGGGTAACAACCGACCACGAGAAGGTATTTGCTCGTACCGTTTTGTTATTTTCATATTTCTATTATAGTTACGTCTTTACATTACGACATCTCAGTCATCGGTCTTCGTTTCATTTTGTACGCTTTCTTTTTCTCTCATGTTCAGTGCCGCTTCGTTTACTGACCTGTCTTTATTCGGCATTATTTATCTACTAGTCATTGATCTTCGACCAGTGTACCGTGCCGCTCGAGAAGCTGTGGGTCGAACGAAAAAAAAAGTTCGTCTGCTATTCGCCATTTTTTTATCGCATTCTCGTCATTCAAACCTTTCCATGTAGCCTCTTTTTTCGTATGTTCCATCTCCGTGATTGAGTTTTATGGTGTGGCCGAACGAGGTAGTTTTGCGTTCATACCCCCTTCCACCGCTGGATATCATGCGGCTATTGCTACTAGAGTCGTTACAACCTTATCTAATGCGTCCTCAGTTTCGAATCGTCTTTGTTGCACTATAGTCTTTTCGGCTAGCGCATATCTATCAACGTAAAAATTATAGAATAGGTATCCCTAAACTGCAGGGTCACAACATCGAAGCGCTACAGAGAACAAGCTATAGATGAGTCTTAGGGCACGAAATGGAAATAGGTAGCATACACACCACGTACACAGTACCTCAGGGATAATTAAATCATAACAGAAACATATATGGGGCAAAAAATCACTATGGTATCTCTGTATCAGGTGACGTCTATAGGAAGGTGGCTGAAAGCAAAAAAGCCACAAAGGCAATGGTAGCGCAATCGACCAGCCGTTGACAAATTTCATCACAGCAGATACATGTATAAAAGACACCCGTTGATATTTACGTAATTATGCATTCGAAATAAAAAGCAATAGAAAAAAGCTTATGACGCTTCTGTTCGTGCAGCGGCGTTAGCGACCGCTTAGGGGTCATTACGTTTACTATGCAGACATCGATTGTGTCAACATCATTTTAACAGGGCCCCCGATATAAAACCCCTGCGATCGGATAACCGTAAGAACCATCGTATTTATTTGAATAAATTTCTGCTACGAAACTACGAACGGGAAAACGGAGTCAGACGTTTGACGTTTTCAATTCAAATTATCGCCGATATTGAATCGAAATGTAAAATTTTTAAAAACTATTCGAAAGAACAAAGATAAATAAAAGTAATAAAACTCAACGTACTACTCTTACCATAGAGAGGAATAGTTATGGCGTCTCTATTGTCGTGACTAGTTTTAATAACCGCTCGAGCTGGTCGTTACCTTTGTTAATGCTAAGTGATGACTCCGTCTAACAGACATATTACATAAAAAAAAATCAGATAAATAGAATTGTCGCGTCAGAGCGCGTCGGAGTCGTGCGTGTCGCGAAATAGAGCCATTTTGAAATAGAAGACATGCATCGAAAACGAAAACGTGAAAGAAGATCAAGGAACATAGTATACGTTTACAACAGTATACATATTAGCTAAGATATTGTCGCGATGTGATGTGGCGCATCTGTTGTCTTCTTTTATCGTTGAATGATTTAACGGTGATGACTGAATACGTATCAGGGAAGAGCCACAGATCGATCCAAGTAAACTAAAAGTGCATGAAACAAATCGTAGAACTTACAGGAAACCTTTTTTTAAAGTGAGAGAACCGAACTTCATTTGGGCTAAGAACGATCTGTATGTAGAATAAACAACAACGCTAATTATAATGTAACTTTTTATAGACGGACGAGGATATCAAAAAGAACTAGAAATTCTACTGAATTCGAAAAAAAAAATAGGTCTTAACGTTTGAAACATTGTATCGTATCTTTAGCCACCTTATAAGGTAATTATTAAACTGCTACAAGCGAATCCGACGGATATTGAAACTAAGTAACTTTTAAGTGTTAAAGTACTCTTTTACGTTTTCCATACTTGTCCTAACACTCTGGCAGTTTCTAGACAATTATATACTTATCATTCACATTCCAATGTGTAATTTCTTTGTCTCTGACTTCTTGAGGTAAATTGATAGTGGGACATGCTTTGGCATCTATTGCCTTTTTGGTGTACGAAAAGCCCTGTAATTATACGGACATATATTTGAAGAATAAGCAGGTAGAAGCCGAGGCTAAATAATCCTATGCTCGTCCAGAAAAGGATTGAAAGATGGCAATAAGGCCTACTTTGTAATCAACTAAGCAGGATACTTGCTTTTGATTTCCGCGCCAACGGTCTACGACCCTCTTGAGGAATTCGAAATAGCTGCATTCATTGTTTCATCTTTGACTATATCATAATAGTAGGTGCCCCTGGTGTCCATAAGAGGTACCACCAAACTTAGGTCCGAATCTGCTCAACAGTGCCACCGAAACCGATTTCTCTTTAGGACGACGCTGTTCTCTCGCCTGGCCCCTGGCGATAGAGATCGAAGCAGACCTCGTCTAGGGCGTTTTTTTTTTATTAAAGTTCCACAAATTTTGCACCCAGATATTTCCAATTGGCCTGAAGCTAATTCACTTAATAATTAGTTCCCACATTTGTAATATTTGGGTTATAATTTTCTACCATACAGCATGTGGAGTGTCAGTTCTGCTCAACAGAACCCTTAGATTCCGAGCTCTTTTTTTGGTAAAAAGTTCCACGATTGCGGCAACGCGTGTTCCTTGGATCCTGACGTCTGGTCACTTCCTCGCTTATCTTCGACACCCCAATGTCCGTTTTTAAAACGCTTGCATCATTCGTATAGCGCGCTTTCGCTTAAAACATCCGTGTCTAATGCGGCAGCCTTCGGGGAGTAAAAACTTGACCACTGGCCGTTAACTTTCAAAATTAAAAATATTTTTCGTTTTGAAGATTTTGAGGCTTACCAGCCAAATTTCGTCCCCTAGTAAAAATTGTAGAATTTCAAGTCCGTCGGAATAGCTTGTAACAGGCTAATATATTATTAATGTTTACGAAACATACTTGAAGACTATCGGCAGTGTCGGCAGGATATGTATATATATATCCAGAAAATATGTAATGTATAACTCCGAAGCATCAGAAAATGTGCCTATGTTTTTTCAGGCAAACCCTTCCTCTATAATTGGTCAACAGGAAAAGTGATTTTTAGCAATAAGAAAGCTAAATAGAACTTGAAATCTCCTCACTGACGACTTACCAACTCCCATCTCTTGGGTACACATGTTGTCAAGATATTCACAGATTAATGCAATGTTTGGTGGTCGCCAGACCGCTCCTTGAACAACTTCGGGTGCTGATTCTACTGACGCTCTCGGTACGCCACCTATATCTGGACTGGAGTAACACCAACAATCCCTACTATTACAAGCATAGGCGAAAGGTCGGGAGAATGAGTATTCTGAAGAAGTTGTGAGCAGTTCATTGTCTGAAGATCCTGATGAACTGGAGCTCCGACACGGGCACTTGTGCATTGAACGACCTGGCTGCATTTTACCCAATCAGTTGTTTCTATTAGGCTATGCAAGGTCTAATAGACGATCTGGCGTGAGCTGTTTGACATAAATGCGCAAGCGAGCTTTTCAACATGTTTGATAAAAGGTCCTAAAATCCGCTATGGAGCGTCGCGTTTGTCAAGAGAACACAAAAACAATGTCAATTTTTTTCAAACTAAAATTAAGTAGTAAAATTCAGATACCCAATAATTACTAGATCGCATTTCATTTGTCCACCGACGGGTCCACTGACGAAACCTTAATAGCGAACTAGCGAAGAGACGATACAGCACAAAACGGCGGAAGTCATCCCTTACAAAAGCTTCCACCGCATCAGAATTGTTGGTTGTTCTAAGGCTTAAATCTCTTACTAAATAACTTGCCACACTTTTGTATGTCATCAATTGTATTGTCACGGGCTGCTGTTACACACAGTTTCAACAATCACCACTGTCATTTACCGCGACCGTTGAGCACGACCTTGTCTATTGTGAGGCACGAGCCTCTCAGGAACGTCCTACCATAAGCAGCACTGCGCTCGCTGTTTTCACATGTCGTTGGTGCACTAGACAGTCACGCTTCCTCGTTTCACTCGACGTTACACAACGTTGTCCATACGAGCCACTCAATACACAGTATTCGCGAAGATACAGGTTGACTGTGTTAACCTGTAACATGTAAACCCATCGGATGCTCATTGCATTGTGACGTTGCTAAGGTGCTATCGAGTCCCCCAGACGAGAGCCCATCGTCCGCTTAGCTTATAACGTACCTGAGTTCCGAGGTTAGACATAACAGCTAGGACGAGTGCCAGATGGTGCATTAACAAACCGCGACGTACTGGAGGAAATTAGGGAGAGGGTACAAGAAGCCTGTCTGTCTGTATGCATGATGCACGCATGCTGAAATCGTCCTGCAGTCTATAACTTGGGATCAGGGCGTATCTAAAGTAGAGATACGGCATCAAGGCGTACGAACCATCAAAATATCGCAGATTCGCATACACGATAATGTCAACTACGGGTGAATCTCTCATAAGAGTCTCTCTTTGGTAGTATTTGTCACAGTAGATCAAAAAAGCAGAACATGTCACACAGTAACAGAGTAAGCTGATTATCTATTGATTTGCTATATGTATTTTGAGTCGGTCGTCTAGCGTAACGATGTTAGACAAACTGAACAAAACTTCGACACAGCTTTCGTAAGCCTATAGACCGGTGTTATTATGGCGATAGTAGCGGCCCATTTCGGGTAATCATAGAATTTAGATAACAAAGCTATTTTAGTATAGATCAGCTAAACGTTGTTTATAAATGCTAAACCATGTGTGGTGCTAACTATTAGTTAAAAATGATTCTTCAGACAGTTACTATAAGTTAAACCTATAGAACTTGCTCGTTGTAGAGGCAAGGAAATGAATCCAGCAGCTGTGTGCATACTCTATGACATAACAATCAAGCCCAGCGTTTAAGCAGGAACCATACCTTATGCTGTTCATTGTCAGACTTTCTAAACAGTTTCGACTGTTGAAACTAGACTCATTTAACTGCATTACATAGCGTATTACAGATATAACCTACGGATCCGTAGAACGATCCAGTGTTCATCTTCCGATTCATATCTCAGAGGTATTTACAGGTTGGGCGGGTGAGCGCGGTTAAGATAGAAGGATACAGAATACTAGGCCACCCAGTCTGGTACACTTTACGATTGGCTAATTTGCAATAGTCCGAAGCAGATAAAGGCACGAGTAGGTCCCCCCAACAATGACGATCAGAGTATGCCATAACCGGTACAATCGGAATCCTCTACAGCTCCATATATTATAATAGCACTGCGAATTGCTAATCATCGCTCGAGTAACTAAGTGCAGGTTAGCAATTGTCCGTGTTCAGCTCGAACAAACCGTTCGTTCCGAGAGAACAACAAACCTTTTTCAGATTGGGCCTATATCCGCGGATAAAGCGGATATTGAGTGAGGTAGCCGCGTTCAACTGTAAAATGACAGTGATCTCAACACAGCGTACGAAGCGGAATGAACTTAATCGCATCTTAACTAGAAAGGCAAAAATACCTAGCGAGTACTTAATACGGCCCCGATATATTCTAATTTTACTGATTTAAGCAGTAATAAGGAACTCTACAGCGAAGTCGGTAATCGTAAGAACGCCCTATTGGACTGACAGACGTTCCCGAGTCTCCCGTGTCATTCGACCGAACTTAATCATGGTCTAATTTTAGCTCTGTTTACACAAGTAGTAGTGCTACATAGGCTGAAGTTATTATTCTCTTTTTTCGAATATACCCGTTATTTCTATCGCTGTTTTGCGTAACGGACCTCAATGACTGGATGAGCTCCAGGATGTGGCGTGTTTCAGGTTGGGTGTTACAATGTAACTTTCTGCCTTTGCTAATGTCTACCGTGTGAAGATGGGCTGCTGGAGACCTCACTCTTAAGACGGACATCCTTTGGCGCGATCGAACCAGCAACAATCTGCCTAGTATATCCGCATCTCATCGCAGGTGTTGTGGATGCGTGCACGACGCGGACCTATTTCACCAAGGTGTAAGAATTCGATTACCGTGGAAAGTTCCTTGAAGCATTCGTGTCACGGACCTAATGATGCTAATTCGCCATCGCCATTAATAAACATGCTGCACGAAGTTCGAGTTTATAGTTAGGCCGGTCGCGTTGGAAGCGTCGGCAAAGGCGTCCAAAAGCGCTCATCATACGGAACTGTTAGTGCACAACAAATAATTATCCCTAGTAATCGTGCTTAAACTGGCAGAACAAGGGAAAAGCTTTTCGTAATACGGATTGTTGTGCCGTTATAATCGATCATTAAAGTAATTTCAATAATTGTAGCAGCAGCTAAATGTTTGCAGCTACAAACGGAATAGAGAGGAGATAGGTGGACGAATCCTTTCAATTGTCGTTAGCTAGCAGCTAGTTAATTAAGCTAAGCGACCCTGCCAGATCCGTTTCGACCGGCACACGCGTAACGGATACCTTCCCCTAGAATCTCGGTGATGCTAGATGAAAGGACGCAATGCTAAACCTGAGCATTTGGGTGTCCAACAAGTTTGTTAAGAAGTTTGTCATCAGAATGCTATCGATGACGCAAATAACCTGCCAAAAACCTCTGTTTAACGTTAACAAATACCGTGCCATTGGTAGTATCGACTGTTTTCCTGTTGCTCTTACTTAGTCATCCCCTTTTAATTGAAAGGGCCACAAACGCGTGTGCCTATATCCAACGGACACAATCGATAAACGAATCAGGTAACAACTTAAGGACCTGACCGGATACTGCGTCGTTCGCTGCTCGGACTTATCGTGCCTGCAATAGCGACACCTGCAGGATGGAAATGCTCCTAACGAAGTGAAGATACATAATTACCGTCCTAGCAATAACAGACGGAAAAGGAAAGAGAGAATGTGACAATGATGTCGACAATCTGGACACGAATAGTCGATGTACAGACAGACGGAAAGGTAGGCGAGACAGGCGACGGCTGTTTCTTTTTCAGGTAGACTTCATCTAGGTGTCGAAAATAACGGACTCTACTACCGAAACCACGCAACGGCATTAATTCTTATCGAGCTGATAAACAGCTTGGGAGTGAAATTCATCAGAGTTATCCTTTTGGTTCGTCGCAGTGGAGCTTTTATTCGTTATTCGAACCTCGTCAATTCTTTAAGTTCTAAAAGTTTGAATGCTAAAAGTAAAAAAGAAGTTTAAAAGAGAATTAGGACTTAATTATCCTAGTAATTTATTAAGTCTATAGTCCACAATTGTAATTTAGTTCGGTGTAGACGTCGATCACCAAATGGGTGAGCCACACTCTAACGAAATGATTTAACTGGGTTGGCATAACGTGAACACTTACACAGACGTTCCTGGAGATATTTGTTCCTCGTTTACCATCTACTTATAGAATTAGTACGCGCCAATTTAAAGATGGTCAAATTATGGTTGATATATTACATAATATAGTTACAGAGCAGAATCAGAAAACGTTTCGCTTTCGCATGCAGGCGCCCCACGTTGAAACACCTATGCGTCTATGACACACCAAATAGCTTCACGAAATCCTACCCATTATCTATGATACTACAATGGTATCGTTTTAGCCCAGATTGGTAAAGTGGGCGCGGCCTGTAGGAACAACAGAAGATATACCATGTATTTGACAAATGTTTACACGTTTCCATTCAACGATATTGCCCAGTGGTTGTCACGTACATAGATGATGTGCTTTTGTTGTGAAGGCTAATCGTGTGTAAATGTGCTACGGGTCAGTTCATATATAATTAATTACTGAACGCCAGCGACCCTTTTTTCCAATATCTCTGTTAGATCACCATGCACAACGGACCGTTTTAGCGCGATCGAAGCTGAGTAAACAAGTTCGAATCGGCTAGAAGTTCAAGCGATACGCACCGAAGGCACACGCACGATGGGTCTCGTTTGTTACTGGCGATAACGATTAGATTACTATCAAGTTATTGAAGCACCAGTACAAACGAGATGATTGTCCGCCCGATCAGATGCGTTATTTGTATTTACCCAGTCGGGAAACTAGGCGACAAGTGACAAAGGATCATGCACTAGGCAAGCGGACTCAAGATAGAGGCATGCTGCGCTACTGGCAGATACCGCCAAATGGCAATGGTATCCATCTTTCGAGCTGGTCCTTCGTCGCCCATTTCAATCCACTTCAGCCCCGACCAATCCCCACTGTGTTTGGATGTTATCATTATTATTACATAAAAGTCAGTCAAGTACTCTGTTGGTAGTAAGGAAAGTGGAAGGAAGGCAGCGGTCATACAATAAAACAATATAGCACGTAATCACACAAGAAGTACGCAACGCTTCAGAACAGCGGCACGGGCGGCGGAGGCCAGACGCGATGCGAAATGCAGAAACGCGGCGGCACTAACTACCCGAGCAGTTACTCGCCAGCCGCAGTCGCTGCGACGTACCAAACGGCATTTTTGTTTTGCTCGTCGTCTACTGATAACGAGGCGGTAAACTGGGCAATGATTAATTTGAGGTTCAATTGTTTCAGCGCTAACGTATTTTATTTTTCGGTCGCACCAATCGCTTAGACGCTCTAGCCTAAAGATGACCAGCTACCACTAATAGCTGTTCGCTGGGCGCTGTGGTTGAGTAACGTGACCGCGCCCTCAATCAGCGCCCACCGCTCAACTCTTATCCTTCCCGATCGCTGTTTAGTTTTCGTATGGACGCCGTTCGATATGATAGACGCTAACGAGGTAGACAGAGTGGTGCGGGGGAAGGTACCGACAGACGTGCTACATCGAAATTATTTATCATAGGCTTTTCCGTTGCTCGGCTGTACGAGAAAGCTGAATTCGATCCTGCGATCGTACTCGTCAAATCTCGAATGGTGGGGGGGGGGGGGGGGTACTGCAACATGAAACAAAAATCGATAGAAGAACAAATCGATTTGGACTTATGACGCCACAGAATCGAACGAGAAATTGTCCGGTCTATGAAGGAGATCAATGGTAGACTGATTGTAAAATTTGACTAATAATGGGCACAAACGACACGGTCTACTATTGTACAGTACAATAGGACCACAATGGCCGCCGTTCAAACCCTATCCACCAATAAGAGCTACGATATACAGATTCCGTAACAAAACGCACGTACTTTCAGTGCGTCATATCCCTACGTAGATTAGACAAATTATCATTAAGTATCTCTTCGACAACACCCAGTCGTTTTATTTGTTCTTGTTACTACAACTCCACGCCAGACTGCTGTATCAGGCCGATATGGCGCGAACCTGTAATTGTATCGAGAGATAACTGAAGAGTCACGTTCCCTATACGGGGCCAAAATTATATATTCGAGCCAAATATCGATAGTTGGGCTCGTTTTTGCCTATGAAATACGTGTGCGTATACTCAATTTAGTATCACTAACATTTATTATCAGTCGTTTAATATTATGAAAAGCATGGATCTATTTGTGTATGTACAACAAGTTAATCGATTGCTAATTAACACAACTATTAATTATGTAGATTATAAAATCATACAAATTAATACCACCTACCATTATAATTAGCTATATAGACTTTCCTTATTAAAGTTGTAGTTTTTTTTTTCCACTTTCTTCCCTGGAAGGAATTTCT